ATAGGTATGAAGACAGGATATAACTCTGACACACTCCTTTCTTCATTTTAAACCATTCAGCATTCCCTTGCTGTATTCTCACAGTGGCCTCTTGGTCTAGGTATAGGTTTCACATGAGCACAATAAAGTATTCTGGGATTCTCATTCTTCTCAATGTTAGCCATAGCTTGTTATGATCCACACAGTCAAATGCCTTTGCATAGTCAATAAAGTATAAATAGACATTCTTCTGATATTCTCTACTTCTGACATTAGCAATGATATCCTTGGTGCTATGGCCTCTTCAAAATCCTGCTCGAACTCCCAGCAATTCTTTATCTATATACTATTCTAGTTGTTTTTTAATGGTCTTCAGGAGTATTTTGCTTGCATGTGATATTAATGATACTATTCGGCAGTTTCAATATTCTATTGGATCACACTTCCTGGGAATGGGAAGAAATATTTATCCTCTAAAGATGCTTAATCTTGCTCCTTTTTCAAATTTCTCTCTTTTTTTTTTTTTTAGGTTATCATAAAGTCAAGCCTAAGTTCCCCACTAAGGTACCTTGTTTAATAATGCACCCTGGATTTAATGATTATTATTTCCTTTGTATTGTTACTACCATCTTTAATAGTTTTCAAAATATCTACAAATAAATTTTTTACATAAATTTTTCTATGTGGTTTTTCCCCCACAATCAGCATGGACTTTGGAGAAATCCGACTAGCATAATTGTAAACCTCTTTTTTAAGGTCTCTTCCATCTTTAACTTCCTGATAGAGGTGCTACTGGCATTTCAGCAGAATACGTCGGTGTTATACTGGCTGTCATTACCTTTTGAAACTTCCAACGTTTTCTGTCCCTTGGATGCTAAGCTTCCATCCAGAGAATGACACTGTAGACTACCTTTAAAAACTCAAAAACAAAAACCCACACCAAAACCTCCATTAACAACATCTGATCCTTTTTTTTCACTTGCAATAGCCTCCAAACTGAATCCCCTATTGTCTCATCTGTCCCACTCTAGTTGAAGTACTTACTGATTAAAATCAAAGACTACAGACTTCAATATGTATTATACCTCAACACAAAACCAACAAAAATTCTCGTAACTAGACCAATAAGCAACATCACAATAAATGAAGAAAAGATCGTAATTGTCAAGAACGCAATTTGATGTGATTCCACATTCAATGCACTTGGAAGCAGCAATCAAAAAAATAAAATTACATATTGATGTGGCAAAAATAAAAAATCAGCTGAGGAAACAGAAGTTTTCCTATTTCTAGTTGGGGAGCTCTGGTAACAACGTAACGGTAAGAAGCTGTGCTGTAATCCTAAAGGCAAACAGTTTGAATCCACCAGCTGTTCAGAGGGAGAAGGACAGTAATTTCCTCCCGGAATATTTTCTGTCTCTGAGAATCCACTGGAGGGTCAGCTGTGCATCAATTCCAACTTGATGCATGTTGAGATTTAAAAACACATATTTAGAGCTTGAAAAATTGAAGTCATTAATTTTATGACAACTGTGTAATATATACTGTATATTTTAATATATGTGTATATAAATTGACACAATGGGCATTGTTGTTGTTATGTGCCATTGAGTCACTTAAGACTCATAGCGACCCTAAGTACAACAGCTCTGAACACTACTTTATCCTGAGACAACCTTTATTGTCCCCAGAACACATATCTCCATTACTTTAGTCACTGAGTCAATTCATCTCATCAAGGGTCTTCCTCTCCTGCGCTGTCCCTCCACTCTTCTAAAGCGTAGCATCCCTCTCCAAAAACTGATCCCTCCTTGCAACATGTCCAAAGTACGTCAGACGGAGCTTCAGAACCCTTGCCTCCAAGGAGCAGCCTGGTTTATCATGATGGAAATTGTGAGGTTGGTACAAGATCGTGCAAGATTTAATGTCTAGTTCATTGTGTTATTTGTTATGAGTTGACATGACAGCGCCCAACAGCAAGAACATGTTTGTCAACTTCCAGCAGAATCTGGAGAAGAAAAGACACAATATTCTCTTAGAATATGCTGCTGTGTTACATTGAGTTGGAATCAACCCATCAGTGACCCACCAGGGAGTTTCCAGAGGCTGTGAGTAAACACAGGAGGAAATTGCTCATCTTTCTCCTGTTGAGCAGCTGGTGAATTTGAACCGTGTGCCTTTGGCTTGGGGGCTCAATTATTTACCCATTAAGCTACTAGAGCTCCCTCATAAAGCATAACTTTATGAAATAAGTATTACAATCTAGTAAAGAGACTAAACTGTGAAAAATAATGTGATACTTTCCACAGCAGTCCAAAGTTAATGAGAAGAAAAAACAACAACAACAAAAAAGACCCCAAAACTCTTTGTCTTACCTTACAGGATAAGTTCTGATGACTTGGGCCATAAGAAGTTTTGCTGCTAAAACAAAAGCCACACCCTTCACCCCTCTGGTGGTTTGAATCCACCAGTGGTTCTGTAGGAGAAAGATGGGGTATTTTCTTCCCTGGGATGGATAGAAAAAGAGTCAATTATGACTATGAGTCAACAGTGAGTTTTTGTGAGAGAGTATTTATTTTTTTTCTTTAGCCTTTGAGAGAGTTTTTATTTACCTTTTCCCTCACCTTTCATCATGACAAATCAACGAGATTTATATTCTTTTTATTGCCTTATTTGAGAATATTTTCTTTCTAAATTATAGTATCGACTCACTGTCATTGAGTTAACACTGAGTCCTAACAATCCTGCAGAATGAAACTTCCCATAAGATTTCCACGGCTGTCAGTCTTTATGGAAACAAACTGCCTCCTTTTCTCCTGAGGAGCTACAATTAGTAGTTTTGAACCACTAACCTTTTGATTAGCACTAAAATGCTTTCATTACTGTGCAACCAAGACTCCTTCTAATTATAGTATCTATTCATATGCATTGAGGCTAGCCAGCCTGGGCCTAGGGTTTGAACCAGGAGGCGGCCTTAAGCCCAAAGGCAGCTAGGAGAGGAGAATAAGCAGTCATGTTGTTCCTGGTTGGCTGGTGCCTCCCAGGGTCTTGGAAAGTTCTCCTTGCCAGAAGGAAGGAGCATGGCAGTGTGAGCGCAAGAATTGTGGCAAGCTTTTGGAGTTGACTGCTTTTCCGGGAATGTGTTTGATGTGCAGATTTGCTCTGTCCCTGGAGTGAGGCTAGGCAGCCTGGGCCTAGGGTTTGAACCAGGAGGCGGCCTTAAGCCCAATGAGCCCTCGGGCCTACAGCTCTCGGGCCAGGTTCAAATTGTCTTCCTGCCAAACATTCTTCGAGGTGGTATAGCACTGGTCTGTGTGTTGCTGCACAGAGGTAACTTGTGGTTGCTGTGATGCTGAAGACTGTGACAGTGATGTGCCAGTCATGGTAATGGGTACCCATGGTGGACAGTGTTGGCTGGAGCTTCCCGACTAAATCAAGCCTGGAAGCAGGAGCAGCATCCACTTCCAAAATGGCTTGTCTCTGGAAACTCTATGTACGAACAGTGCTCAGAATGTTCGTTGATAGGGTCGCTATGAGTCGTCTACGACTCGATGGCATCAAACAACAACAACATTCATATGCATTGTCAGTCTAATTCCTATTTAGTTAATATATTTTTATAGTATTTATAGTGAAAAAAGAATTCATTGTACAAAAGTCTATCATTTAATCTTCAGCCTTATATCTGTCACCAAGGTTATGTTTTCCAAATAACTAATATTTTTTTCTTTGTTTCTAATTTTTGCTTTTTAGTCACCAATCATTATTAATACATCTTGATAGCCTGTTTAATTAATTTCAGACTGCAAAAGTTGGTAGAAATCATGGACTTCTTCATCTTTGGGTTCCATGTTTGGTGCATATAGATAGCATCCTATCTCTCACAGTGTTGCACTTCAGGATATACCTTGAAGTGTTCTTTTTGATAATGAACAACACACCATTAGTCTTCATTTTGTCATTTTTGGTGTAGTAGATTGTGTAATGAGTGTCTAGTTGGGACATATCATCACACTGGGAGAGGTAGAGGATCAGTGGCAGAGAGGAAGGACTTCAACGAGATGAACTGATACAATGACTAACAGGCTTGACCATGACAGAGCTCATGAGATTGCCATAAAATAGAGCAAGGTTCCTTTCTGTTACTCATAGGATTGCTATGAGTTGTATTCAACTTGGTGATACCTAACAACAACAACACTGATGCACAACTGATTATTTCTGATCTAATATGTACACATACTATGTGCATACAAAAGCAATAATGTGTGTATTAAAGCAGTATGTGTATAGAAAGGGGCAGCAAGGTAGGCTCTCAGACAGCCGTCATAACATTAGAAACAAAGTTTTACAAGACATAGTGTATTTCCTCGTGAATCATTTTCTAAATTCTTGTGAATAAAGCATTGTCCTACTTGAATTCCTGACTGCTGGTACAGCGATTTTCTTGACAAGCCATATACTTTATAACCATTAATACATTATTTTCTCTTAGGCTTCTATTCTCATTCTTTGTTGATATTTTAAAAATATGTGGTTTATAAGACGTGTGTGTGTGTGTGTGTGTGTATCTCCATATTTCGTTTAAATATATTAACTGCTCTATGTACTATTTAACAAAACAATTCTTTAATGTACAGAAGATTCAAAATAAAATTCAAGAAATCATACATAGTTTTCAGCCCTGTTACTTTATCCAGTGTAGGCTTGATGACAGACCTGGATGGCTAACCGTAGTCTAACAATGCTGGATGAATTTGTTCTGATGGGACTCACAGACAGTCCTGAGCTGCAGGCTCCTTTGTTCGGGATGTTCCTCCTCATCTACGTCATCTCACTGGTGGGCTACTTGGGTATGATCATCCTCACCAAGGTGGATTCCAAACTGCAAACACCCATGTACTTTTTTCTCAGACACTCGGCAGTCACTGATCTTGGATACTCTACAACTGTGGGGCCCAAAATATTAGTAAGTTTTATTTCGGATGAAAATATAATCTCTTACTATTTTTGTGCTCTCCACCTGGCTTTCTTTCTGGTGTTCATTGTTAGTGAAATATTCATTCTGTCGGCAATGTCCTATGACCGCTATGTGGACATCTGCAACCCTCTGCTCTACACAGTCATCATGTCACAGTGGGTGTGTCGAGTGCTGGTGGCAATCCCCTACCTCTACAGCACGTTTGTTTCTCTGCTGGTCACCATCAAGATTTTTAACTTATCCTTCTGTGGATCCAATGTCGTCAGTCATTTCTATTGTGATAGTCTCTCCTTGTTATCTTTGCTGTGCTCAAACACACAGGAAATTGAGTTGATCATTCTTATTTTAGCTGCTTTCGATTTGATTTCACCCCTGCTCGTAGTCCTTGTCTCTTGTCTCCTCATCCTTGTAACCATCCTCAGGTTACAAGACAAAGTGGCTTCTCTTATGTACACTCTGGTGATCCCCATGTTGAATCCTTTGATCTACAGCTTGAGAAACCAAGATGTAAAACATGCTTTAAACAGGACATGGAAAAAAATAAGCAATATATTTTCTAAGGTTTGATTTACTATATAGTCTCATAAACCGTATCATAGCCTTTAAACCCTGTTCTGTACACCTCTACTGGTGACATTAAGCACAAAATATACTCAATCTATACCCATAAGTCTCATTTGATGGGCAAAGCAATCTTTTTTAATTGATGTACGACAGAGTAAAAAACTTGTATTTCTTTGAAAGGAGGAGACTGAATACAAACAGAATAATTACATTAATTGTACAGGACCATAGAATGTGTTGCGAACCATGAAGTCAAGGCAAGGAGAGTGAATATGCTTGGTAGAAGAGAAGTACATTAAGTACAAAAGTAAATGATTCTGATGTTTGTTTGTTTTTTTCATCCAAATGTTAAAGTAAGTTCTACTGTGTGAGCATGTGTCTTTGCATGGGTGTGCATGTGTCTAAACTCTTGCTTTCTGTTCTAGCTTTCTTAGTCTTCTAAGCTACACTTTAGATGTGGTCCAGGTTGCAAGCAGTGTTTGGTACTTAGTCCTCCAATGCAATGTTCTTTGAAGTCCTGAGTTCCTGGAGGCATTCTGTTGATGCTATCAAGTTCCCTCTAACTAAAGGGGTGTGTATGAGCGGCGGGGGGAGGGAGAACTAAACACTATCTCCCACCTTGTGCAGTAACTTGAACTCATTATTGCAACGACTATATTAATTCATCTCATTTACTATCTTCCTCTTCTTTATGACTCTCTGCTTCCATGTGTGCTTCCATGCTCAAAAATGGTGACCCAACAGAAGACGGAAATTCTAAAATCATATACAAGCAAACTATTGCTAAAGACAATTGAAAGAATGGCTAGCACAGTACATAGAGAACTGCCAGAAGTTCAAGCTGGGTTTAGAAGAGTCTGTGGCACCAGGAATATCACTGCTAATGTCAGCTGGATCCTGGCTAAAAGCAGAGAATACTAGAAGAATGTCTATTTGTGCTTTATTGACTGTGCAAAGTCATTTTACTCTGTGGATCATAGCAAATTATGACTAACATTGAAAATAGTGGAATCTGAGAAGACTTACTTATGCTCATACAAAGCTATATCCAGACCAAGAAGCTGTCATCCAAACAGCAAGGAAATACTGCAGGCCTTAAAATCAGAAAAGGTGTTCATTAGGGTTGTAAACTCTCTCTGGTCCTATTAATTATGTATGCTGTAGAAATCATTCAAGAAGTTGGACTCTGTGGAGATTGTGGGATCAGGAGGCCACCCCTCGCCCAGGGAGCCTGACCAGCCAGTAGAGAGAGAACTGCCCCTAGGGGCTGCCCTTGAGTCTGCCCTTCCATGGCTTCTTCCTAAAGAGCCACACAAAAGCTCATAAGCAAATGAATGTATAGACAAACTGGTATTTTCACAGAATGGAGTGCAAAACAGTATTCTCAAAGTAAAACACAAGGGAGAATCCAGAGAGCACTATGTGGATTGAAATAACTCAGTCACAAAAGGTCAAAGATTGCATAAGACTGCTTACTGTCCTGACAGGAGTCCAGAATGAAGGCTGCATAGTGGAATGGGCTTGGGCGGGGAGGGATTGTATAACAATGAAAGAATTTTTCTTTTACTTTTCAAAGAGAAGAGGGAACTGGGGGGAGGTGTGGGCAGGGAGAAAAGTGCAACAATGAAAGAGTGGAAATCCAAAGTCTCCGTAAATGTTCTTTAAAATTAATTAAAAATTAAAAGAAAGAATGATGAGAATGATTGTATAGCTTGAAAAATGTAATCACTGTCAGTAAAGTGTACATGTAACACTGCTGAATTGCATCACATTGGCTGTGCAGATTCTCAAGAGGAACAACAAAATTCTTTTTCTTAAAATATTCTCATTACAAAGTGGACAACTAGATGGAATTAAAGAGAAAGTTGACACTTTGTGGAAAATGTAAGTAATGTCACTGAATAAGTTGTGTAGATCATGTCAAGTGGGAACCCAAATTTTTTGAGTAAACTTTCATCAGAAACAGAGTAAAAGAGACTGCTTACTGTGACAATAGCAGGATAACTGAGGGCCAGGGGGAGGGAAGAATAGAAATGTAATGTTAACAGGGAAGAATCAAGATAAGGATGACACAGTTATTGCACTTAGCAGACAGGAATAAGATACATATAACTGTTTAAAAGGGAAAGAAGAGACAGGGCATGAAGAAAGAAAAAAAAAACCAAACAAACAACACCCAAAACACTAAACCAGCTGAGATAGTGAAGGGATGGGGAAGTGAAGAAATAGGTAAGACGCAATGGGGCCTGAGGAGAAGGGGAGATTAAAAATAACAGATCGTTAGTAATGAATTATATCAGACACAACGTACAGAAAAGATTGCATTTAACAACACGTCCATGAACTAAGCAAAGTCTATGAATGATTATGAAAAAGTGAATGATGGTATAAATTAATTTTATTTTTTTAAATCACTGCCACTATTTTGGTTCAGACATAGTGACCTTGCATTTATGTATAAAATCCAGTGAGGACTGAATGGTTGGTAAAATTTCAAGAAAAATAAAATTGTTCATTGGTCTAAATTAGTTGTATGAAATGTTTATAAAATTGTTGACTGGGAGGCTTGAATCAATTTCAAGGCAGTCCAGATTGGTAGGTGGCCAATGGTTAGAAGCTGTGCCTCCGTTCCAAAGGAATGCAGCTGCAAGAGGAATGATCACCTGCCCTGCGATTAAGTCTCTGAAAACTGACTGGAGGATGGGCCACGGGTCGGTCTAACTCGATGGTGCACAGTGACAGCAACTCTTAGTCATGTTTCCTGGCCTTGTGGTGGGAAGCTGCATTGCAATCCCGAAGGCAAGCAATTTGAATTGACCAGCTGCCTCTGTGAGAAAAGAATGACCAATCTCCTCCCTTTTGGCTTCTTGCCTCTAAAATCTTGCTGGAGTCTTAGACATGAGTTGGTTCCAACACAGTGGCACACAATAACAACAAAAAATTACATTTAAAGTGTACTTCCCAAAGTATGGGCACTCATATTTATTATCTAGGTATCCATTTAGCATGATATATTTAAACATGATATATTTAAAGTAAAATTCACATTTTTAAATTATTACATATTTTTTTATTACCACAATATCTAAAATATAGAAGTATTTTATCATCTTTATTTTATACTGCCTTTTTAGTTATCTCCTCTCTTCCTGTCAGCAGTAGAAATC